ATATATATATATATATATATATATATATATATATATATATATATATATATATATATATATATATAAACACACACGCACAGGCGACCTCTCGACAATATGCGCTGTAGCACAGCAAAAATGCATAAAAGCGATAATAACGATCTGACACATATTTCTGTTCGTTTAGCTAAAAGTACTCGTCGGAAAAAACCCGTGTTGCTTAGCAAGCATCTATAGTAAAATCGCGCAAAAAGAAAATGTTAGCACCAGCAAACCTGGTGTGCATCGTAGCTAGATTTTCCAGTTTTTCTGGTCATCAAAATCGTCTTCACTTCATGTCCGCATGTGAAAAGTAAGAAGCGCACAAGCCCATTTTAAGTCTAGATATCTGTTATGATGAACTTATTTGGTAAAGATTCCGCTTGACAGTCTTCATAGATCTGGAACCTAAAATATGCGGACAAACGCTCAAAAGTTCTCTCCAAATCATCCCTTTTTACACTGCTTAAATGCAAAAAAGCATAATAAAATCGTTCAAAATTTCTAACATTGAAAAATAGGCCAGAACCGAAGACAAAATATGCCAAACTCAGTCTCAGTAGTTACTTTAAGTCACGCATAACGCTAATTTGTGCTCAAAAATTCCGACCGGTTATCTCTCAAAATTCCTCGTCTTATAAACGCAGCGTTCTCTCATAATCACATAGATAGATATAGCTATGAACCCTTTTTCGACGTTCAGATATCGTCTCACGGCGAACACGTCTGAGAGGAAGAGGAAGTCTATCCAGGGCTGCTTCTTGCTTGTTCATACTGGTTACCACAGTGCGCTTCCATTTTCCGAAAACTAAATAATCATTTTTACAGTGCGTCTTACTACCTGTTCATACCCGAGGAATTTCGCTTTCGCAAAGACAGTAATATCCTAAGAGTATGTTTGTGCGTCCAGTCTGATCACTTGGAGATGCGTGAGGCGCCCCGGTCCTTCGTTTCTGGGTAGACATGTTTTCGATCATCTGTCTTTTTTCAAATGTATCAGTTACTGCACAGTATTAAAAGAGAATGTTAACTGTATTGAATGTTAAGTGCATGCGCTTTTGAGTCGATACTCGACTCTGCTTTAAATTTCACCACTTTAAATTCAGAAATTTCAGCTACTTGGCTAAGGGCAAAAAATGTCGTCCGTAAAAGTAGCGGTGCGAGTCCGTCCTTTCAACAGCCGAGAGATAACAAACAATGCTAAAATGATTATCACTATGTCCGACACTACCACAAGTTTGTTTTTTAATTTTTTCACAAAAACTGACCCAGTTCAATCAGATATTTTCGCTAAACGCTTTTTCATAATGTTGGAGTAGCAACGAACCAGATAGAATGAATTAGTGCGGTATAATTTCGTTGTCTTCAAACATACCATTGAGACACTGTGCCGCATTTTCTTCAAGTGGGCTTAAACGGCATGAGACGCGTCAACCTGACACTTGGTGATCATACAGTAGTGCGTCAGGCACGAAAAGCAAAGTGCGCGCTATACGGTGTAGCTTGAAGAACAACATAAGAAAAAAGCACGGCTTCAATAGTCTACGCACTTCCAGCTCAGCCCACAGCGACGGGTCAGCACCGAAAGATAAAAGGGTTGCTAAGAATCTTAGATGTCTAAATTTTGACGCCGCGGGATGGAGTGTACTTCCTGATATGAAACTGGAACCGCAAGTCACTACTGCGAATTCATCAGCGCGTGTAATATGTGGCGAAAGAACTGAAAGCATTTTAACCTGAAGGGAATTTCATCTGGAACTGGGAGCAGTACGCTACCTTCATCTGTTTAGTTTTTTCTTCAAAGAATTTGGAGCCCAATTTCCTTTGTGCTGAACGTAAATTCATTCAAAAAAATTATACTACACATGTCCTGTTCCCCAGTGAGAAAGTCTACTTATTACTTGAATTTATTCCGGGCTGATTCTTCAGTGTTGAAAACTTGGTATTCGAGAAAAAATTCAGCTAAACAGCTTGCTTAGCAGATGATTTGAAAAATACAGACTACGCAAACAGAGTGGTTTTTTGTCTTGCGTAAAGGCGCAACAAAAAAATTTTTTGAGATCATGCGAAAATATGGCCACGTTAACACTATTTTGTTCATTGTTTCAAAAACAGTTTAGCAGAAATACAAATTAATATTTAGCAATAATTGGTGGCAGTGGCCCGGAGAGAACGCACAGCTTTAACTTTGACTATTCCTATTGGTCATTCAGCAAAAATGACAGCAATTTTGCAAGCCAGCAGCAAGTCTATCAAGATCTTGGCGTTGAAATGCTTGATCACGCATTTGAAGGGTAAATCATCATTCATCTTCATTTGGTATTTTTATAACCGTTTGATCAAAAATTTTTGCGACATATGGCCATAACAAAATGTATGTGGGCGAGCGAAAGGCGAGAAACGAGACGAGCTGTTTTTCGTAATAAACCTGTGGATTGTTCGTCTTGTCAAAAATTTGTAAAATTTTCGTATAGTCATTTTCATGCTTCTCATGCGTTTTTGCTCACTTATACAAATGCACAAATGCATATTTCAACAAAAATGATGTGTGCGTGTGGGCGTATGTTTATGTGCATGTTGTATGTATATGTATGTATGTGCGCATGAGTGCATAACAACTGCCTGCATATTTTACACTCATCCTCAGGCATAAAATGAACACCCACGTCCTCCTATAGTATCCCCCTGCCCATGTGCAACCCAAGAATTTAAAACCAGCCTGGCGCATGTTTGGGTTTCAGATACTTACAAGTCGAAATTCAGGTTGGCGTCATGCCCGACTAAGTGAAAAACCGCAGTTCTTTACGTCTAAACCCATCAAAAATAAAACTGGCTTCCGCGTCTCCTACACTGCGCATATTGATACTTGAAATTTGACGCAGACATTTTTACAATTCTGCACCTAAAACAACGAGAGACTCTCTGTGTAGTTGTATATGAAAATAAATTTTAAGTTCCGCCACATAAAAGTTATTTTACATGGGCCGAAATAACTTTCACTTTTTTACGTCAAGAAGAGGCAGCTGGGTCGGAATCTTGTAGGAGTTCTTTTCCACACTCACTATGACATCTCACTCGGAGATATCAATTAACAGGCGAGAAATTGTTTTCCAGCACACTCTTCCAAAGAAAAAACTGCAAATTATGCAAATATCCAGCTGTTCAAGTAGTTCTGTTATCCGCTGGACATTCTCACTGCGTGTATCTTACAATACAGTAAAAATGAGACACTCATGTTTTCCTGTTGGTCGTTTGTGACGCGCTGGCTAGCAAAATGACTTTTATTGTACAGCTTTTAGGTACGACAAAGCGCAGTTAAACATACCCGAGTGCACAATCGAGTATTGGCAGTAAGCTGGTCCGTAGACCCTAGGAACTGGAGGTCATGTAGTTTAATCGAAGACGATTAGTTTGTCGTAACGGAGACTGTACCATTGAGCCACCTGACTGAGTCTGACTTTTCGTCTGGTCTCACTCCTTCGATCTGATGAGACCGGACGAAAAGCCGGACTCAGGATGAAAACAAAGGCTGGAACGCACCAGGCGAGCCGGTGCGATCATGCGTTTTTGCATCAAAACTAA